ACGGGCGAAACGGACCTGTGAGTTGTGATCGCCCATGTCCATTTGACAAGTAGAGAACAGGAATGAAAACAGAGTAACACCCGGAAGAACTCTTTGAGTCGAGGGTAGAAGTGAAGAATGGTATCTATTACGTACAATTGGGTGGAAGAAGTTTAGCTTTATTTCAAACAGCTGGTAATGGCTTTTTGTCAGAATAACAGCCCCACGTAATAAGACTGAGGAATACTGTATATGCTTTGTAAATGTTGTTTATCTATGTTAAAGAACTTACATATGCTGCCCACAAGTGCCTAGTTAAAATGAATGTTTGAACAAGTTAATACAGGTAGTTTCTAGAGCCGAGTTTTTTAAAGAGTACCGCAGTGCAACGAAAAATCTCAGTATTGTTTGTGATTATTTTCGAAGCACGATGCGGTTTGTTCATTTTGATTCACGAGTAAATATGCCACGAGCGGAGCTTGTTCAATAGACGGTGATCCATGCAGTCGAGTGGGTGAACTCGGCTTTATGCTTCGTGCGCAATTTGGTTAGAAAGCGAGGTGATTAACTTGAATACTACTGTCAATTTATTCACGTCCATTTTAAAATGACTACAAAGCTGTTAAAATTAAGCACAATTGATCTCTCTGTTTGGTGAAACGGGAATAAAATATAGATGGATAGTAAGAAAACAGCAATGTATGTGGCATATACAAACAGCTCCCAACTTGAAAGCTAATCAAACAATCCGCAAATGGTAAACAAGATGAACTCCACAAATTCGGTAGTTTTGGATTACGTGATGCTCGTTTCCTCCGCGTACGAAACTTTTATCCGATGCTCGAATTATTTTGTCCCTACCTTTATCATTGCGTTTCTCAGCGATTCAGTAAAATCAGTAGTTTCAAATAATCTGTTTATTGTGAATTATTTTATTGAAGTCAACTGTAATTACAGAAATCCCCTTCAATTTAGTCGTGCAATCATCTGATGAACAACAGTAAGTGTGAACATAGATACAGAACCTCAGAGGGGATGAAAGGAATTTTCCCCCAGGAAATTTGCGCAACCAGAATGGTTTCTAATGGGGAAATATTCAAAATAATCCTTCGTATTCAGAGCATGTGAAAATATTAGGATCTACTCTATGAATTGAATGCTACGAGACTAGACTTGTCAGAATGAATTCATTCGGCTGATGGTGTCGTTTTTGACAATTCTGTGGATGTACCTGTAAATAAGTTCATGATTTACGAACTAGAAGATTAACTGTGAATGTTGGCACAATATAAAGCATTCTTGAAGGAACTCTGACTTCCCCGGGGTAAAACGTATTCAAATTCCTCTCTGTCACAGCAGTTTTCCCCTTGTGTCATCACTCGTTTGTTTGTGTGTGTGTGTGTGCGCGTGGGCGTCTGTCTGAATAGATCACCAAACACCAACTGT